TACAACTACAGCCATTGGAAAATCCCACAGTAAGATTTGAATGTTTATTTTTACTCTTAGTATTAATACTTTAATATAAATAAACATAGTGAATGACAATCTTTTAATGTAGAAATAAACTTTTTTCCTGCAGATTGTGCTGTGAGGCTTTGCCATGCTCATATATAGGAATGCATGACGATAGATATTGCTTGGTTAGTGACCATCAGTTGTACACTTTTTTTCATGATGCATTATGGGATAAATGACAGCACTATATAGGGTATAAAAAACATGCACTAAAAAGTGATTAGTGGATGAGTTTGGTCACAGCCACTAGCTCTAAGAGAGCAGATCAGAAGTTTCAGTTTGACCTGATATCGGATTACTCACAGAATAAATGTAGCAAAACCTGATGTGATCTTTGGCGACTGTGGCTCAGGAGGTAGAAAAAGGCTGTCCTCTGACAACCACACTGAACCCCAAATTGCCCCAGACGGCTGTGCCGACAGTGTGTAAGTGCTGTGGGAAAGTGCTGCACAGAAATGCTCGGTATGAATGTGTGTTTGAAGCGCAGGACAGGATGTGTGATTATGTGCTCTGTGAATGTGACTTGTATCGTAAAGCATGGCTGATAAAGCTAGAAAATAGCTATATTAATGCATTCCATTTGCTCTTTAGGTTGTGGTAAGGTAGATCAGGGTTGTAACACCAGCATTGGCGTTAGATCTGATTTACTTTAGCTGATAGAGATCTATCAAAATGAACCCATATGAGTCAAACCTAAAACTGTCTAGTGTCAAAAAAGCTGGCCCTCCATTGTTACAGTACGGATAATATGGTCATGTCTTGTAGAGGAACCCTATGTCGCTTTTATGACATCAATCTTATAAGTATACTTTTACCCAGTTATAATGGAGGCAGCAGTCAATAGTTTGGCTGCTTTCTTTCAGGGAAGCAAACCGTAGAATTCTGATTTACAAAGATGTTTTGTCTGAGACATAGACATGATGTGTTCCCTTTAGGCGGATTTGACAAAGCACGATTCTGCTCCGCAATTCAATAATCTGCCAACATCTGACTTCATTCAGTCTGGGGGAGAAACTGGAATGTCTCCTGGTCATTTCTCCTGAATCAGATGGGTTTAGTGTAGGTGAATCACAAGTTGACTTATTTGGCTGCCAAGAGAAGAAACAAACAAAAACTGTGTGCTCTATGTCAACACAGAAAGGTCCAACAAACACTCACCGAGCACAGATCAGGAACACCATACCATACAGAAAGTCCTTATTTTCTAAAACTGCCCCCCCTAGCCCTCAGTTCTTTGTGTCTGCTCCATGTTGACGAGACTGCATCACATCATCTCTGCTGGTTTGTCAGCTGCACATTCATACTGCCAATCTTTTGTTCTACCATATCACAAAGGCTCAACTGGATTCACAACTGGTGACTGAAGTTCACTGAACTCACTGCAAAGATGGTAAACTGTGGCCATAAAGGGATGAACGTGGTTAGAAACAATACACAGACTGACATCTATGGTTTATTGGGGCCCAAAATGAGTCAAGAAAACATTCGCCATATCATCACCACCAGCAGCAGTCTGTACTGTTGACTGGCAGGTTGTCACCATGGATTCATGCTGTGAACACCAGATTGTGACTCTACATCTGCAGTCTCAGCAGAAATCCATAGTCATCAGACCAGGCTTCATTTTTCAGTCTTCAACTGTCCATTGTTGGTGAGTCTGTGTCACTGCAGCCTCACATGTCTGTTCCTGGCTGACAGGAGTGGAACCTGATGTGGTCTCTGAAGTTGTAGATCATCCACCTCAAGGTTATTGATTTTGATACTTCTCTGTTCACCACAGTTGTAAAGAGTGGTTATCTGAGTTACCGTAGCCTGGCTACTGTCAGCTCCAATCAGTCTGACCATTCTCCTCTGACCTCTGAACTTACTCAACCACCACTATCCAGTTTCCACCACTTATCTGGTTATGGCTCACTGCAAGGTAGGCCAGATACATAGCCGTGTACTACAGCTCTTCCTGGAGGATCCAAAGACTTTCCCAGGCCAGATGGCTCATGTATTCACTTCAGCATGTTCTGGGTCTGCTCAGAGTACCTCCCAGGAGAAATCCTGGTAATATTGAATGAACTCCCCACCATGTTTTTAAGAATGAGCACAGCCACTCTGTGAGGAAAACTAATTTCCTTCTCTTGCATCCATGATCCTTTTCATTTGTCACTATCAAAAGACCATAGGCGTGAGATGGAATGGACTAAATCAATCAGTAAATTCAAAGCGTTGTCTTCAAGCTGTTAGTCTGTTAGCTCATTCACAGTACAGCCTTAAACAGCCTTAAAATTATTATATATGGTTATTCAAGTTAATGATGTCAGGTGTATGTGTTAAAGGTACGGTGTGTAGAATTTTGTGATATCTAGTGTTGAAGTTGCATGTTACAGATAAACACCCCTCACCTCACTCTCTCCTGCCAAACATGAAAATGAACCTGTGGTAGCTTACCAAAAAGGTGTTTAGTTTGTCCAGTCTGGACTAATGTAAAAAACATGCCGGCCTCCGTAGAGAGGGTCCCCTCGATGTAAATATAAAGTATTTAAATATAAAGGGCCTTTCCTGGGGTGAAGAAAACTATAATTCATATTATTTAAATGAAACGAACTAGTGAAAACATCATGAGAATTATTCTACATTTAATTTCTTCCAATAGATCCCTTTCACCTAAATCTTACACAATGGACCTTTTATTTACATGGAGCCTTTGACACTTGAGGGGCTGAGGACACACAGATAACTGTAATAATAAATGTTGAAGGAGGACATCCCTCAATACAGAGAAATCTATCAATACTATTTCTATAAAAAAATAATAGAATAGATAATATAAACTTAATGAGCCAGCACTTTAATCACATACAAAAATTCAATTAAAACTAAACTAAAAAGATAATTGATTCACCAGTTTGATCTAGGTTTGCACCTCTTTGAATTCGGAACCCCATATCAGGATATTAATAAATCATTTTTACTAGTTAGCGCAAGATTGTGCAAGCAATATAAAGGAATTTTGCTTCAATTGTTTTTTTAATATCGGTTTTTACATTTTAAAGCACAGGGCTCAGCATGGTGACTTATTAATTTGCACATCATTTGTGCATATATTGCAGGCAAAACCTTTTTGCTTTATTCTCACATTATGAGAATCACACATTAGCTTAATAAACTGTTTTAACTTTAGAACTGTTTGTTAGGCTTGCGAAAATGTATAATTGCACAAATAATAAAAGAACACTTTGTAGTTTTGGAAAAAATTATGTTAATATTTAACTTCTCCATAACAGTTTGCAATATACCCATTAGACTGCATTCCATCTCACGACCTCGACTTCCACCAAGACTGGAATTCTACAACTAAACTGACATGAATCTGTATTAATCTTTGGCTATAAGCTGAGTTGGTGAACATTTGATACAAAAATTCCCCCCATCCACCAGTTAACAACTATGTACTGCTGGACTCTGGGGAAACGGAAAGCAACAACATCAAAAAGAATGAAAGCTATTTGTACCTATTAGCTTCAACATCCTTTTCAATGCCACCTTGCAAGACTGGAGTGTCTGTTGATCCTCAAAGGATAAATGGTCACATAGAACAGTCGCCAGGGGCATGGACAACAGAAAGGAATGTACTTGAACATCCCAAACACACTTTTATTACGTTGATCCAGCTCACCAGTATCGGCCCCCACCTGTTCTTTCTAAGTTAAATCTTTTTAAAGGTATATGTGTTTCAGTAACTTCTCCATAGTGCTTCTCTGTTATGCAAGACAAAGCAATGAAGGCACTGGAGAGAAGCTGTTTACTTATTAAAAGGTTGGCAAGATCATGGAAATATGTAAGTGATCTGACCCCTGGATCTGGGCCAAGAGGTATTATCCATTTCAAGTCTGCTTCTCTTTTACTCTGAGACACACGCTCTTGCCTGACGGACAATATAATAACAGTCTTCTCATGACTTGGCAGGCAACTGCCCAGACACAGGTCCTCATTCATGAAATGCATGTTTGTACAGATTTGATCTTAACTTATGCATATGCACACACATTCATGTGCTGCAGGATTTATCAATAGTTCTTGAAATATGGATAAATGGCTGAAGGAACAAATTGCATCTATATTGCTGGGTATACTGCTTGGGAACTGATTTGTGCATAAAAACAAATAAAGCCCACAATGAAATACAGCATATCAAACACCAATATTAAGTATACCCTGAAAACAACAGGCTTGGAAGATGAAATGTTGACAGAATAAAGCAGAGTCAACAATTATGTATGTGCAGGGGTAATTAACTACACACAACAAGGAGCCACTTCACCTTGAGCGATTAAGTCCTCCGAGTGTATTTACTGTTTCCTAATTTATATCCAGGCGGTTATTAACACTGTATCCAAGCCAGTGTATCACAGTGCAAACCCCACTGTTAATTAGAAAACAACTGGGCCCTGAGTATTATTTTAGTGTTTCATTGTCTACCCAGGTTTTGATTAGTTTTAGAAGTTAGAGGTAAGTGCAAGCCAACAGCTATTTAGAACTGTCTCATGTAGGTGATCTATGGTACCAAAGAGGATGATTAAAAAGATTTTAGAATATAAGACTGTGGTGTAAAACTTTCTGTGAGTAATGTTACATACATGTTTAAGAAATAAATATTTTACATTATATGTAAATGAAGCAAACAACACATGAACACGAAAATGTGTCTTCTCGAAATACAATTTATTTACTATTAATTTGCAACTGCTAAAAATAAGACATGACTTCTCATTACATCAATGTCATATAAACATTAAGAAAAATAGTTTTTACTTGTTAGAAAAAATGTAGTTTGGGTGCCTGGTGCACTCTGGCTAGCATCTGTTGTTGTGATATGTGGCTGGGAACTGCTGTATTAATATAAGGCCGTTGTTGTGTTGAAAGGACTTGAGTGCACTTACGCTTCGTGCACCGCTGCGACCCCTGAGCTTTGCTCCATCCATGACAGCACTGCCCTCCACAGATGTTCACCCTGCAGAGAGAAATCAAGCACAGGCAGATGAAACAAACAGACGCTAACGTTGAAATGTCAAACACAACAGCAACAGAAAGGAACCCAGACTTCCTCTGCTGTATATCAAAACTAAGAGTTAGTTGTTTTCGAGTTAATTTTACTTTGCTCTGGCTCTTTTAGCTTTGGAGACATGTTGTTTCAATTAGACTGTACATTTGACGAACAGTTATCTCCTTTAGTCAGGTGCCAACATCAACTACTTGTTCAGTTCACTGGAGGAATGCAAGTCTTGCTGGGCTGTCATCGGACTTTACTTGTGATTTTTACACAGGAGGCTGTTTCTGAATATACATGTATTAAAGGTAAGCAACAGGCCATGTCAACTTTAATTTGATGTCTGCAACATCTACAGCAGTTCACACTGTTGTCCACAGGGTTCATGGGGTTCGAGACAAGTCACGTCATCATGTAACTTTTCCACCATAGTTATCTGATTTTTGGCACAAATCAGGCTCCACCAATTCTCACCGGATATTTTCCAGACTTGAATGGCCTCCCAAACACAGATCTCCTGAGATGTGGTTTGGCCTTGTGACACTAAATGTGACAGGGAAGGCAAGAATTTTCTGTGATACAGAAGTAACTGAGGTGTAGTGTTTATAGGGGTAGGTTTGTTGAAGCCAACCTGAATCTGGCCAACTTAGTTTTACTACAAAACTTTGGTTTGGAAAAAAGGTCTTGATTGAGTCAAGCTGTTGGAAGCTGGGAAGTGGAAGCTGGGAACTCACGACTCAGATCATCATCATCATAGAGACTGGGTTAAATAGACTCACCACCTCCTAAACCTCCTGAAGACTTTGAGATAAAAAGAAAAGAAAATATGTGCATAATTCAATTGTGGGCCATCTAATGTAGAAAATTGATTAGTACAGGCCCTGGTCACTACAGCTGAGAAGACATTTGTGAGGGAGGATCAGCTGAACTGCACTTCATACAGGCTGCCAGCACTGGCTTAACCTGCATCACTTTGTCTGTCTGAATGAAGTGATATGACATCAGTACAGTGTTTCCCACAGTTTGGAGACAGTCTGGGTAGGGGGGGGTGCTCCTCATATGGTGGTGAGAAGCATTTCATTTGAGATTCAGCTGTGAAACAGCATTGCTTTAATCAGTTGTCCATTCCTTGCCTGTAATTCATTTAAAAACACTCAAATACCTAAATATTTCAAAGTAGCTGTCATATTTTTTTTAATCCAAGTCACCACAATATGTATCATGGAAAAGGTAAGGGGGGCATAACACATTAAGTAACACTGCAAGTCTTGCATGATGTACAGTGAGCAGCATTGTTTGTCTTTAACAGGTAACTGGTGCAATAGAAAACATACTTTTGTTACTGGGCAAATGTTGTACCAAAATCACATGAAAACAAGTTATGCATTCACACACACACACACACACACACACACAGACACACACACACACATCACCTGATCCTTCCAGCCTTGTGTAACCTAGTAATGAGACTGAGAAGAGCTTTGGGTAGGGGGACACCAGTACACTGCCAAACTGTATTCACTAATCACACATCAAAATGTTCCAATGGGCCAGAAACTGACCAGCTGAGGTCAGGCTGCTGGACCACACACAGCCTGACAAACTTGTGTTCTTCTGCTGTATTTCTACTGTATCACAATCAACACACCCCCACCAACAAAGCCTTGTGCTTTGTGTTCCCACAGAGCTGTTATCGTTCTGAATGTCCGCTAAGACAGAAACCTCCCACACATTTGGATGGATCCCTCTGGTCAGAGGTCTGGATTTAATTAGGTGGGAAATGGTTATTCAGGTGAGGAACAAATGCCTCAATTTAACACTGAGGTTACATGTGAGGGAATCATGTTCAACCTATGGGTAAGAAAATGAAAATGATTTGAGGTATTCTACACTGAAGAGAGAAGCATCAGAGTCAGTCGGAAACTGGTTCTTCAGGCCACATTTTTTAACACTGGTCATGAACATAGAAATACAGAAAATAACATGAATCCTACTCTTAGGTTTAAAATAAGCTGCTGGTAGAAGGCCTGGCTCTTTAATGTCTTACACTGTAATCAGCCCATATGACACTATGATAAAAGCAATGATCTAATGTTTTTCTTATCCAGCTTTACTTGCTGCTACTGATTCAGAGTCCTGGTGTTCTTCATGATCATTCTCTGCCAAGGCAGAAGCAATTCACTCTGATGGGTGTATTTTGTTGAAGTAAAAGCTGAGCCACAAAGCAATGGTTTGCTCAGTTAATAAACAGGAGTCAAAAATGCACCTTTTGGACTTAATTGTGTGAATTTGTTGTTTGGTTGAGCAGTAAGCTAACCAGGGTTGCCTATGAATCAGGAGGTGAGGCAACAAAACAGAAGTTGGCGGTCCGATCCCTGGCTCCTTCAGCACAATTCCTTGGGCAAGTCACTGAGCCCCCAAATTGCTCCTGATGGCTATGTGTCTAGATATGCCCCTGGAGCTAGTCAGTTGGCTAATTCACTGTTAGTGAGATTGTTAGTCAGAAGAGAATTATTATCCCTTTGTACTATATCTAGATTTTGGCTGTCACTTATTTTATATGTTATATTTTATAACAAGTGAATGTGATGTTTTGGTGTGATTGTGGCATTACACTGTCATGGACTAGAACATTGTTTTTACTAGAAACACCTCTACTTTTCTTATGATGAATAATCTAATTTAAAAGGGCTATGAAAGGCTTTACGACAGGTAAGGTTTGGCTTAAATTTAAAAGTATACATACAGAGGAAAATACGGTGCATTAGAGGACTAATCAGAGAATAGTGGCTTTCAACCAGGAGACTGTGGTTCAAACCCTGATATATTTCTTGTCGGTGGCCACTTATTCATTTCACTTATTGTTGTTCAGTTTTTACTCAGAAAGTGGTTAGTGATAGGAAACAAGACTTGGTTAGGTTGCCGAAAACCCACAGGATCTATCCAGCAGTTGTCAGAAGAAACATATACCTACAATGAATTCCCTTGGACATTTTTTGCATACTAGATACACCTAAGCCAAGGAGGTTATGTTTTGACCCCTGTCCTTTTGTATGTTTGTAAGTTGTTTTTTTTATTGTCAACAATATTACATAAAAATGGCTGCACGGATTTCTAATTTGCTGCAGATTCAATCAAAAATCCGGGTGTGCCGGATTTAAATGTGGTTTCATGGAGGGGTAGGCTTTTTTCCAGTGCCATTCTAGTTAATGACATGTTCTCGCCCTGGAGCACGGCCACAACCACAACTTTCAGAGGGTGCATTCTAACCTCTTTTCAGTCATGTAGAAGGTACTGAAGTGTAAATGCAACAATGCCTGAAGCTCTTGGCAAGATACCATTGTCACCACCACCACCACCCGCTGCCAGTTAGCAACCACATTTGACAGCAAAGAAAAAAAAGTGATAGAAATAGAAGCAAAACAAGAGCTAACATTGGCATTGCGTCCCAATGCAGAAGAAAACTAAAAGTGGGTAAAATAATTTAATGCTGATTGCAACATATCCTCAAGACTAGAAAGGGAACTACTTTGGATGTCATTTAGTAATATGAAAAAAATTGCATACTCCACCTTCTGCTCAGGTTGAAGTCTGTTGTCTAATGCTATGTTCACATTACATTTAATGCTCATTTCCAATTTGACGGATACAACCTTTAGTGTCACTAGTACTGTGCCCATTCTAAACATGCTTGTTTAGAATGGGTTGTTTGCTTGTCCTGTGTTAAAGCTCCAGAGTCTACAGCAGAAGTATTACTTGTCATTAGTGAGTCTTTCCAAAAAGTTCTGCAACATAGTGTCACTTTTTATTGTTTGCGTGCTGGACGTTTTGAGCAGAGCTTTTTATGTCTATGGATATTAATAAGCAAGATTTCAAACACTGCTATAGATCATCCCACGACGTAGATGTAGACATGTTCAACTTGGTCTGCAGACTGAGCACCCCCACTGACTGCAAGGAGCTGTTAGCCTGTGTAGTCAAATGTCATCACATTCGACACTGCATTTCTTCAAGCCACTAACAATACACAAGCCAACTGTGAAGCCGATAGGATGAACAGTTTACGAGATATGCATTCCACATACAGACAGACATGAGTGGAATTAGTAAGTAGTTTACATTCATTTTACCATTAATCTCTGTTGTTAAACTGCCAAGCGTGCACAGATTTGATTGAAATGTGAGCCACACGCACACATGGATTGTTTGTTTTGCTACTGACCAATATGCTACAAATGATAAGGATGAGAATGCAGAGGCGTTGAGCGGTAAAAGCTAAAGCTGCTCTCCACCATGCTTAGTATTTGCCAGGCGAGGAGGTGCAGCCACTTAAAGGTACAGTGTGTAGAATTTAGTAATATCTAGCGTTGAAATTGCATGTTGCAGCTGAACACCCCTCACCTCACCCTCTCTTTCCAAACATGAAAAAAAGAAACCGTGGTAGCCTTTAACTGTCATAAAAACTCAAAAGGTGTTTAGTTTGTCCAGTCTGGACTAATGTAAAAAACATGGCGGCGTCCATAGAGAGGACCCCCTCAGTGTAAATATAAAGTATTTAAATATAAAGGGGCTTTTCTGGGGTAAAGAAAACTACAATTCATGCAACTTAGATGAAACAAACTAGTGAAAACATCATGAGGATTATTCTACGTTAAATTTCTGCTAATAGATCCCTTTCACCTAAATCTTACACACTGGACCTTTAATGATGACGAGGAGCACATAACCTGAGAGCAAACATGAATCAGATAGAGGACCATAAAAAGGGGCCCAGACCTCATGTGGAAAAAAATGTTATTTGGTATGTTCACACTTGCGTGAAAAATATCAGTGTCAGGATTGTGTGACTTGAAGGCCCAAAGAGATTGGATTAGGGCCATTTCACCATGGGATGTAAATGTAACCTAATAGGGTCAGGAAGGGGTCAATGAACAACAGTCCATGGAAGAGGTCTAATTAAGCAAAATAGAGAGCACCTCAGTGGGTGGACCAGTGTATAGCACCTCTACAACTATAAACTCATTGCTTTGGAAGAGTTTTTGTGAGACTTACATCACATTCTATGTTAGACACGAGAGGGGCTTGGGCCACCTAACAACACGGCTGAGGGTTGTTTGCTCACTCAGGGACGCAATGGAAAGTGTGGATTCACAGGCTTGACACTGATATGAGTTTAAGACATGAGATTAAGCACAATTAGACGACATCAGTTTGAATTGAATTCCGATATCGTAGTTCACAATTAACAGGTCGTGTAGCCCAGTGAGAGTGCAACCAACTCCCAAATCATCACTGTCACCTCCACAGGTGTCTGAAAACAGCTAAGTTCAAGTCAGTGTCACTGAGAAGTCAGAGCCTGATGACACTGGAACACTGTGTGTGTGTGTGTGTGTGTGTGTGTGTGTGTGTGTGT